GGTCTGTCAACTTAGAAAGAAGTCGAAAGCCTCACTTTCCCCCCCCTGTGAATTCCATAATAGTTTTGAATTAACATCTGAAACTTGTTATATTAATTTCTCATCTGTGGGGAATTTTGTATTAGGAGTGTAACTTAAAATCTGTCGCTAAATGTGTGCCTATTCCAAGCTTGGGTTTTTAATAAATCATTGTCTTTCTCCATCATTCACAGACTAGCTTCTTTGTTATTTCTCTTGGGTGATGTGCTATTTTCTTTTATTCTGCTCTGGCTAGGTGACTTTGATGGTCCTGACACGATGCCCAGTTTTAGTTTCAAGTCCCTGTATCACATAGGCCCAAGGTCATGCTAACTGCCCTTGAGTGTACTTTCTAGTCCCAAGCCCCTGGCTATTGCCAAGCTGCCGAGCCGACTGGAGGCCTGCTGCAGTCAGCTCAGAGTCAGCTTCCTATTTGGACTTCCTGTTCCTTCTTTGTTTTTGCCACCTGAGAGTCTCTCCTTTTTTTTGTTCAACCTCAGATTGGTTGCAGTAAAATTGTGTTGTCTTTTCCCGTTATTTTTAAATGTTAGTAGCAAAATGATTTCAGACTTATCTGAGTATTCTTTTTAGGGAGAGGTCGGAGGGCTAGACTTAACAGATAAGATTTTAAATATTTTAAACATAAACGGAGTATTCAAAAAACTATGTATACTGCAGCAAAGTATTTTTACTATTCAAATAAAAAGATTCCTGGCTAGTGAGTCTGGACAGTCAATTCTAGCCTGGGATCTCTGTTAATGAGCTGTAGTTGCCCAAGACAAGTTAATTAAATGCTTTATGACTCAGTTTAATCATGTTAAAAAAGAGAGTAGCTATTCACTAAAGCCCCTTCCAGGAATAAAATCCCACCAACTAGTTTACAATCTAGCACACAAGGCTGAGGCAGACAATTTAAGATAGTCAATGTAATTAATAAATTAAGTAAATCTATTTGTTTACCCTCTTCATGGGACTGTAAGTAGCTCATGGGGCAGAACAGGATGGACTCATATCTCTATAGACCCAGTGCCCAGTAGAGTGCTTAGCTCAACTTCTGGGATGTTTTGGAAGTGGTCCATACTCTTATGTTCCTGGTGCAGTAAGGAAAGGGCATGAGTACCACGTTTGACTTCCTTTGTCTTCAGTAGGGAAAAGGAGAATCGAACCCCATACCATCCCAGGGCTGATTGCCACAGCTGTAGGTCAGATGCCTCCACTCTCCAACTTCCTTTACCCCATTCTGATACCAATTGTCCCTCCCATGGCGTGCACTCTACTTCTCTACTGGGTTCTACTGTTGCCACGGCTACACAGAACTCCCAGGCAAAACCTACAATTTGCGAGGCTCATTAGAGAAGTTAATAGCTTACCACAGGCCAGGATCATACAAACACGATAGATACAGTCTTTGTCTACAGCAGCACCTCTTCTCAACCAGCTGCCGTGCATCTCCTTGGTCCTCAGCCTCTCAGTCATGTGATCCCTTGGTCTTTACCTTGTTGAGTGGGCTGGGGAGTCTGCCCCATTGCCTCATAGTCTCAATGCTGCCCCTTTGTTTTGCTTCTTGGTTTCAGTGCTATGACCTCTCATGACACTGCCACTTCTGCTAGTGATCTTGCATGTCCGTGTTCTACTGGTGGCTCTTCCTTCTGGAAAGTCCTAGGGTTCTCTCTTTCTACTTCTCACTGCCATTGAGTCAATGTTGACTCATAGAGGTCTTCTGGGGGTTTCCAAGATTTTAACTGTTTTCAGGAGCAGAAAGCCCATTCTTTCTCCCTTGGAGCTTCTGGTGGTTTTGAACTTCCAACTGTGAGGATCGCAATCCAATGAATAACCACTACACCACTAAGGCTCTATTAATCTACAACCAAATACTTTGAGGGAGTGATTCCCTGGGACGGAGGGTTCAGGACCATTGTTTTGGGGAACACTAAGGTCAATTGCCATAAAATAGTCTTTCCATTCCTACTTTGTTGAGTATTTTTATTCCGAATAGGTGTTGGATTTGTCAAATGACCTTTTTGTGTCAGTCAGTATGATCATGCGATACTGTCCTTTTATTGATGTGATGAATTATGTTGTTTTTCTAACTGTGAACCATCCATGCCTATCTGGTTTGAACTCAAGTTGGTCACAACATATTATATTTTTAGATTCTATTGCCTAGGATTCATTGAGCATTCGTCATCTATCTTCATGACAGATATTGGGCTATAATTTTCTATTTTAGTGATTACTTTACCTTGGCTTTGGTGTCAGGCTTATTGTTCATGTCATGATATGAATTCAGGAGTTTTTGATCCTTTTCCATACTCTAGAATAGTTTAGTTCAATCCGTGTCAATGCTTTGGATGTTTAGTGAAATTCACCAGGGTGGTGGGTAAACTCTGGCATTTTGTTGTTGTTAAAAGTTTACTCTGATCATGTTTTTTTCTATTGTTAAAAGTCTGTTCCGATTTTCTACTTCAGTCTGTGTTAGTTTAGATTATTGATATTGTTAGGTGTCATTGGGTTGGCTCTGACTTGGTAACGCTGTACATTAGAAAGAAGTACTGCCTGGTCTAGTGCCATCCTCATAACTGTGATAGCTATTGTGTCAACCCATCGTATTGAAGGGCTTCTTCTTTTTTGATGATCTTCTACTTCACCAAGCCAGGTGTCCTTATCCAATGTCTGATCTCTCATGATAACAAGTCCAAAGTACATGAGATGAAGTCTCCCCAGCCTATTAAAGAATAGGCCCCAGGATATTAAAGAAATATCCTGATTGTACATCTTCTAAGACAGATTTGTTTGTTCCAGCAGTTTCGTGATATTTTCAATATCCTTCTCCAGCACCATAATTCTACTCCACTAATTCTTCAGTCTTTCGTATTCATTGTCCAACTTTCTTTTTTTTTTAAAAAATTTTATTAGGGGCTCATACAACTGTTGTCCCAATCCATACACACATCAATTGTGTAAAGCGTATTTGTACATAGTTTCTCAAAACATTTTCTCTCTATTTAAACCCCCCGACATTAGGTCCTCATTTTTCCCCTCCCTCCCCGCTCCCCCCTCCCGCATGAGCCCTTGATAGTTTATAAATGGGTATTTTGTCATATCTTGCCCTATCCGACGTCTCCCTTCATCCCCTTTTCGGTTGTCTGTCCCCCAGGGAGGAGGTCACACACAGTTCCATGTAATCGGTTCCCTCTTTCCTACCCATTCTCCCTTTACCCTCCCTGTTTTGCCACTCACACCACGGGTCCTATAGGGCTCATCCGTCCTGGATTCCCTGTATTTTCAGTTCCTATCTGTACCAGTGTACCTCCTCTGGTCTAGCCAGTCTTGCAAGATAGAATTCGAGTCATGGTAGTGGGAGCGGGGAGGAAACCTTTAGGAACTAGAGGAAAGTTGTATTTCTCATCACTGTTACATCGCACCCTGACTGGCTCATCTCCTCCCTGAGACCCCTCCATTGTCCAACTTTCATATGGATCTGGGGAACTGAAAATATCATGGTGTGTGTCAGATACACCTTAGTCCTCAAAGTGACATGCTTGCTCTTCAACACTTTAAAGTCTTGTGCAATAGATTGGCCCAAATGCACCACATTGTTTTATTTCTTGACTGCAGCTTCCATGAACATTGATTGTTGATCTAAGGGAAATGTAATCCTTGACAGCATTCATCTTTGCTCCATTTATCGTGGTATTGTCTATTGGTCTAGTTGTGAGGATTTTTTAGATGCAATCCATACTGAAGGATATAGTATTTGATTTTCATCACTCATGTGTCCACTCCTTGCTTCCAGCAAGTTTCTGTCATCTGCAGATCCCAGGTTGTCAATAAGCCTTCCTCCGGTCATGATGCTGCATTCCTCTTTATCTTACAGTTTCTCAAATAATTTTCTCAGCATACAGAATGAATAAATCCAGTGAAAGGATACACCCTTGACAGACATCTTTCCTGACTTTAAACCATGGCGGTGTTCTCATGTCCTGCTTGAGCGACTGCCTCTTGCATCACGTACAGGATCAGAGCACAGTGAAGTGTTCTGGGTCCCAGCCTTCTCAATACCATCCTCAGTTTGATATGCTCCACATGGTGGAATGTCTTTGCATAGTCACTAAAACACAAGTAAACATCTTTCTGATATTCTTTGCTTTCAACCAAGATCCACCTGATGTCAGAAATTAGATCCCTCATAACATGCCCTCTTCTGATTCTGGCTTGAATGTCTGGCAGCTCCCTTTCAATGCACTGTTTCAAATGTTGTTGAATGATATTCAGCAAAATTTTACTTGCATGTGATAATAATTACATTGTTTGATAATTTCTCATTCTGTTGGGTCACCTTTCTTTGGAATGGGTGAAAATATAAATCTCTTCTGGTGGGTTGAACAGGTAGCTGTCTTCTGAATTTCTTGTCATAGACAAATGAATGCTTCCAGTGCTTCATTAGCTTGTTGAAACTTTTCAATTGGTATTCTATTAATTCCTCGAGCTTTGTTTTTCACTAATGTCTTCAGTGCAGCTTGGATATCTTCCTTCAGTACCACCAGTTCTTTATCAGATGCTACCTCTTAAAAAGGTTGACTATTGACCAATTGTTTGTTCATATACTGACTCTGAATATGCCTCCCATCTTCTTTGGATCCTTCTTGCATTGTTCGACATTTTGCCCTGGGAGCCCTTCAATATGGAAACATAAGGCTTGACTTTGTTCTCTTTAGTTCTTTCCGTTAAGATAGGCTGAGTGTATTCTTTCTTTTTTGGTTGTCTAATTCCAGGTCTTTGCACGCTTCACTGTGCATTAATAATACTTCGTGTTGTTGAGCTGTCTTTTGAAAATTGATGTTCAGTTCTTTTACCTCATTATCTCTTCCACTTACTTTCAAGAGAAAGCGTCAGAGTCTCTTCTAACATTCACTCTGGTCTTTCTTTTACTCTGTATTGTTAGTGACCTTTTGTTCTCTCTTGGTATTATGTTCTTTTTGTTTTGTTTGAAACTAGCTCGCATGCCACCAAAAAATTTAAGTCAGTTTCAATTCTACTTTTCCTCTTTTTATAACCATTCAGATCAGGGTTTAGATCTGATAAGTAAGGAATCTGGATGTTTTTAAAGGCTGTGACCCTTCTTTATTTACAAACAAGAAATCAAACATTATTATTAGTTACCTTTCATTTGTGATACATAACACATATAAAGAAAAGCATGCTATATGAGGTTGCACGGTCCATTGCATCAGAACAGTGACAGTGTGCCATGAAATCTCCAGTGCATGTAGAGTTGCTTCTTTTTTTATTTTTCCCACCCTTTCTCTCTTCTTCTCTTTTTCCCACACCCTCCCCCACTCCCCATCTCTTGTATCACCATAGTTCTTAGTCCTTTATTTTTGTGTGAAAATCATATTTATCTTCATGAGATTAACTAACTTTGTCGAGCAACAGTGGCCTCCAGTCTTTTTTTCATGTCATCAGATGTTTGACAGACGCATCACTGTTTTTAAGGATGCATGGCATTCCACATGTGTGCGTACCAGAGTTTGTTTATCCATTACTCCACAGACAAGGTTTTTGATTGTTTCTATATTTTTGTTGTTGTAGAAATTGTTATGATAAACATGGCATGCATAGATCCGTTCATGTTTTGCTCTTTATTTTTAGACTATATTCCAAGTAGAGAGATTGAAGACTCATAAATTATTTTGATTTGCATTTGATTAAGGAAGTGCCATACTATTTCCCAGAGCTGTTGCACGGTTCTGCAATTCTACTACAGATATTTGAGCATTCCAAACTCTCCACGTCCCCTCCAGCATTTATTATCTTCTGTTTCTTTCTTTTTTTGTTGTTGTTATTTTAATTCTGCCAAGAGTGTCGGTGTGAGGTGGCATCTCATTGTTTTAACTTGTATTTCTCTTATAGCTAATAAGTACGAGCATTTTTTCCAATAATTGCTATCTGCCTGGAAGTTTTCTCTAGTAAACTGTCTATTCATGTCTAGTGTTTATTTTTTTGATTGGGTTATTTGTGTTTTTCTTATTAAGGTGAAGTTTTCTATAGATTTTTGAAATTAGCCTTCTGTTTGATATAGCATTGCCAAATACTTTCCCACCAATATGTGGGTTCTCTTTTGACTCTTTTGATGATGTCGTTTGGTGTTCAGGAGGTCCCAGTTCTCTATTTTGTCTTATATAGTGTGGGCACTATTCGTTATGTTTAATAGTGTATTTATGCCTGGTATTGGGGTCCTTAAGTTTATTCCTATTTTTTTATTGATAATCCTTTTGAGTCTAGGGTTTATAGCTAGGTCTTTAATCTATCTTGAGTTTATTTTTCGACCTACTATGAATTTTGGCCCTTTGTGTGTTGTTCTTGATGTCACCCACAGCTCTACAGGCCTTCTGTCATTAATGCTCAGTAGGTCAAATCTGTTCTTAAGGTGGTCTCTAAATTCTGGTGGGATATACGCAAGGTTGTATTTTAACTCTAATGGAATTGTTTCCATTTAACTCTAACGGAATTTTCCCGGAACTTGCATAGGACCAATTGTTCTGTTCTACAGTTGGGGCCTGGCCTTGTTTTAGCTAGTGATTTTGAGCTTCTCCATGGTCTCTAATTTAGGTCGGTAGTGTTTTTCTAGCACTTTTACATTTATTTTTGGCTATCGAATTTGTTGACGTATTGTATTATAGTACCATTTTAATTTTCATTAGTTTTATCTTAATATTGCTCATTTCATTTCCATTTTCTTTTCCTTTGTTAGATTTCCAGAGGTTTGTCAATTTTATTAATCTTTCCAAAGAACAAATTTCTTGTTGATTCTTTATCTTTTTTTACTGTCTTATTTATTTCTGCTGCAATAATCATTATTGTTTCTCTTCTGGTGAACTGTAAGCTTATTTTTCTGCTTTTTCCCTAATGATTGGAACGGTTGACTTGAGGTATTGATTTTGGTTCCTTTTTATGTGTTTATTGCTTTAAATTGTCCTTTGAGTAAAGCTTTTGCTGAATCTCAAAGGTTTTTGGCATATTATATCTTCGTTCTCATTTGATTCAAGGCATTTAAAAAATTATTTTGTGATTCATCTAAACTGGGTGTTACTCAATTTTCATATCTTGGATTTCCCCCATGGATCTTTCTCTTGTTGACTTCTAAATGTATAGTATTGTGAACTGATTCTCACAACTGGGCCAATAAAAAACATCATGACAAATGAAGAACATACTGAGGTTGGCAAGGATCCCATTTTGCTTGAATGCACAGTAAATGCTCATAGAAGCTGCAGTTAAGAAACCCAGTGACATACTGTGTTGGCCAAAGCTGCTGCTCAAGAACTTTTCTTTTTTTAAATCATTTTATTGGGGGATCTTACAGTTCTTATAGCAATCCATGCATCCGTTGTACCAAGCACATTTGTACATATGTTGCCATCATTATTTTACAAACATTTCATGCCTATTTAAGCCCTTGTTATCAGCTCCTCTTTTTCCTCACCTTCCCCACTCCCACTCTCGTTGCCTCTTGATAAATTATAAGTTATTATTATTTTCATAGCTTAACACCAGCCACTGTCTCCCGTCCCCCATGGTTTCTGTTGTTTCTCTCCCAGGGGGGGTCGGGGGATGGGGTGGAGCTGTGGTGTGGGTATGTGTCATTCGTTGTGGTCAGTCTCCCTTTCCTCCCTTCTTCTCCCCACATTCCCCCTGACCTCCTGGTACCCCTCCTCCCTTTTCTGTTCCTGAGGGGTTTACCTCACCTAGATTCTGTGTGTCATGAGCTCTTATCTGTACCAGTGTACAGCTGTACCATTGTACAGCTCTTATCTGTACCAGTACTTCGGTCTAGCCAGAACTGAGAGGCAGGACTGAGGTCATGATAGTGGGGGGTGAGGAAGCCTTAAGGAACCAGAGCAGGGGTCCTCAAACTTTTTAAACAGGGGGCCAGTTCACTGTCTCTCAGACTGTTGGAGGGCCGGGCTATAGTTTAAAAAAACAACAACCTATGACCAAATTCCTATGCACACTGCACATATCTTATTTTGAAGTAAAAAAACCAAAATGGGAACAAATACAATATTTAAAATGAAGAAAAAGTAAAGTTAAATCAGCAAACTTACCAGTATTTCAATGGGAACTCTGGGCCTGCTTCTTGATAATGAGATGGTCAATGTCCGGTTCCATATTTGTCATTGCTAGTCGTAACAAGTGATGCAAGTGTGCATCAGTTAGTCTAGATCTGGTTGGAGATTTCAGATGTTTCATTCTGGAAAAAGTTTGTTCACAGATATAAGTGCTGCCAAAGATGGTTGGCATTTTGAGTGCACGGTTCCTGAGATGAGGATCTGTCTCAGAGGGGAGAGATGCATAGAAATTAGGAAGGCTGCTTGACTTGAATGTGTCTTTCAGAGAGTCGCAATTCTGCAGTTCAGCCAGTTCCATTTGGTAAATTGCATCCACATTTTAAATGTCAATAGAAAATGGGTTGCGGAAAAGCTGGATGTCCTGTTCATGGAGATGAAGCTCTTTAAATCTAAATTGGAACTCCTTTTGCAACTTTTCCAGTGAACCCACACATGTTTTGTTTGGGATTGCAACCAATAGTTGTTCCGCTAACCGATTTTGAGTTGTGGGGAGATGGCAGAAAATTTTCTCCTTCACTTGTTTGATGAGGAGGCCTAATTTTACTTCAAATGCTTTTACATGTGATTGCATATCACAGATGAGCTTCCCTTTTCCTTGAAGTTGCGCATTGACACCATTGAGTAGTTCTTTATTAAATCTGTCAGAGAGGCAAGGTGCCACTTCCATTCTGCATCATTGAGCTCTGGTACTTCTTTGTTTTTTGAAAGCAGAAAAGCTGTAGTCTGTGGAAGTAAGTCATAGAAATGTTTCAGAATTCTCCCTCGACTCAGCCAATGGACTTCTTTGTGGTACAGAACATCTTCATAGGCAACATTTAGCTCAGACAGAAATTCCTGAAACTGTCTGTGGTTTAGTGCATTAGCTCTTAGGAAGTTAACACAAGATACCACAATTTTCATAACAGAGTCCCACTTCCGTGATTTACTACACAGTGCTTGTTGGTGGATGAGACAGTGTATCGCTATTGGATGAGAATGGTTATGTTTGTCCATCTCTTGGTTAATGCTAGCAATTACTCCTTTCTTAGACCCCACCATGCTAGGAGCACCATCAGTTGTCACACTGGCTAGTTTAGCCAAGTCCAGCTCCAAACCATTCACAGTTTGGCAAAGCTTTTCATAGATATCCTCTCCTATGGTTGTTCCTTTAATGCTTTGCAGTGCAGCAAGCTCTTCTGTGACTTCAAAATAATCATTCATCCCACGAATAAAAATTAGAAGTTGTGCAGAATCACAAACATCATTACTTTTGTCAAGTGCCAAGGAAAAATAGGAAAGTTTTTTTCAGAGTTTTGCAAATGCTGATGCAAATTGTCTCCCATTTCTTCAATCCTTCATGTAATTGTAGGTCCTGAAAGACCCACTGTACTAAATAAATCAGCCTTCTCTGGACACATCTCTTTGGCAACAGAAAGAAGACATTCTTGCACGCTATTACCTTGGCAACTTGAAAATTTGTTCGCAGTGATGAAATATTTCACTGCTCCTGCTTCACAAAAATATTTTGCTGAGTTGTTAATGTAATTTTCAGTTTTAATATTTTATCTTTTCTCACTTCTCTGACCAAACAATCATATTTATCTTTATGTTGAGTTTGATAGTGTCGACACAAATTGTATTCTTTGAACACAGATACTGTACTCTGACATATCAAATACACAGCTCTTTCCTTGTACTGCATGAAAAAGTAATCATAAGTCCACTGTTCTTTGAATATCCTCACTCCAAGTCAATTTTTCTCTTTCTTGATATTATTGTGGCCCGCAGGCTGTAGTTTGAGGACCCCTGAACAAGAGTATTTCACCGGTGCCATATTGCACCCTGGTAGACTCATTCCTTCCTTGAGACCCATCTGTGAGAGGATGTCCCATTGTCTACAGATGGGTTTTGGGTCTCTACTCTGACCCCCCTGATTCTCATCAATATATTCGCTTGCTTGCTTGTTTGTTTGTTATGGGAATTTTGATGCTT